TGGCCATCACGTCAGCTCAACGTCCTAGTGAACTTGCGGCCTTAAGTTCTGACTACCCTTATCTCCAGTCTTACCCAGATAAAGTTGTAGATATTTCTTTTCTACCCAAGGTTGTCTCCCAGTTCCACCTATTCCAACCTTTAGTTCTTCTTTCTTTTTTTTTCTACTCGTCAAAAAAGGATCCTCTGTACTCTGGATGTAAGACAGGCTCTGGCTTTTTACATAGCCCGCACTCAATCCTTCAGACACTCAGCTAGACTTTGTGTCAGCTACCAACTTCCTGCCAAGGGTCTTCAAGTTACCTCGCAGAGAATATCTAACTGGGTTGCGTCTACCATCCAGCTTGCTTATCAGCTTGCTCGAGTTCCAGCACCACAGAGTATCCGCCCTCATTCTAGGGTGTTGGCAACATCTACGGCATTTCTTTGGGGCGTCCCCGTACCAGACATCTGTGCCACTACAACATGGTCACAGCCATCCACATTCATCAATCACTACAGATTGGACATTCAGCAGTAATCTGATGCTGCTTTTGGGCATGCTGTGTTATCATCTACCTTGGTGTGACACCCTCCTCCAGGTACGGTTGCTTTTTAGTCATTCATAGTGTGATTCACAGAGGCCACGAAGAAGAACAATGGGTTACCTACCTGTAATTGTAGTTCTTCGAGTGGACCTCTGTGATTCACACGTCCCGATCTGGCCTTCCCACTGTCACACCCTTTTCTTTATGCCGTGATTGACCTAACTGAAGGGAGAGCCTTGACCCCAAGGTACCAGGGGGGCGGGGTCTATACTAATGTATTTTCCTTTGCTACCGCAGAAGCTCTGGAATATTCCAACGAGGCTCCACGCATGCGCGGATTACCCATAGTGTGAATCACAGAGGTCCACTCGAAGAACTACAATTAGAGGTAGGTAAACTGTCGATTTCATTACCAATACAGCCTGCTTCTGTGAACATAAGTGGTGTGTAATATACGTGCACTATCTTCTTTTCCTCAGGCAGCCAAGCATCTTGGGTTCCTATACTGGAGCATAGGGTGCTGCCTCTTACCAGGCCAATTAGTCAATCTAACTCAGTCCTGCCTATCTAACCAGCAGTAGACTTTTCGGGTTTCCAACAGATATTTTTTACTTTTTCTGCTCCCTGATCTTTTAAAGGGAGATTCAAAAATTGAATCTGGGCTGCGAGAATTGAATCTGCTGCAAGATTCAAGAATTGAATCTGGGCTTCTTGAATGCAGGCCATGCGCTTTAACACTGAGCTGTGGTGGATCCTCACAACAGGAGCAAAGTGTTCACAAGAGATAAGAATAAACCCTCCCATAATCAAATCAAAATAAACTCTTCCAAGGTCAAATTCTTGGCCACATTCCTACCTGCTCATTCAGAGGCACATGTGGCTTTAACTAGTGGCACCCTGGCTACGCATGATATCATTGATGTGTTTGCTTGCAGGTGAAGGATGAACCAGGTGCTGGGGATCTCCGTTTTTTGGCAGGACGTCTGGAGTTTGAAAACGTCTATTTTGGCTACGTGGAAGGGTAAGGGGGAAGGCAGAGAACAATTGGTACACATAGGAGATCTGGAAATGAGGGATTGGGCTTTGTCATGAAGAAGTAAGGGACACATAATGGCGTAGAGTAGTTGCAAAAAGATGGGAGTGTGGAAGCATAGCCATGAGGCATATGGCCCCTTGCCAAATATTTACATGGGAATTCTTGCCAAGTGAGATAAAGACCACTAGAAAGAAATATATTTTGCACCTCCTTCCTGATTGAAAGCAAGCACGATGAGAACCAGGCCTCTTGAAGGAAACGTGGGGCCCAGTAAAATGCAACACCTGTGGACTTCTATTCTACCTTATACATGTGTTATGTAGCCATTTCTTCACTCAGCCACTTCTTAAACCCTTTCACAGGGATCCTTTATACAGTATGGAACATTCCTGTTGTTAGCGATATACTTAGTTTGCACAAGTGATGAAGGAAAAATAGTCTGGAGACAGTCCAGGTCAGGGGCTCTGTGTGAAACATTTCTGTGCTTCTTTGCACTCTCATAAAGTTGTTTGCACATAATCTGAAATGGAGTGGTGGAGCTTAACGTCTAGGTAAAGGTAAAGGTTCCCCTCAACAATTTTTTGTCCAGTCATGTTCGACTCTAGAGGACGGTGCTCATCCCCGTTTCTAAGCCATAGAGCCAGCGTTTTGTCCGAAGACAATCTTCCGTGGTCACATGGCCAGTGCGACTTAGACACGAAACATTGTTACCTTCCCACCGAGGTGGTCCCTATTTATCTACTCACATTTGCATACTTTCGAACCGCTAGGTTGGCGGGAGCTGGGACAAGCAACGGGTGCTCACTCCGTCGCATGGATTTGATCTTACGACTGCTGGTCTTCTGACCCTGCAGCACAGGCTTCTGCGGTTTAGCCCGCAGTGTCACCACGTCCCGAGGGGGATGTAAATGGAGGTGCAGGTGGCCTCAGCAGAATGACGGTAGTTTAGAGATGTCTAATATCTCTCTTTTGTTTGCTCCCCTCCCAGGAGGGAAATCCTACATGATGTTTCCTTCAGTGTGATGCCTGGGCATACCCTAGCACTGGTAAGGGGAAATGAACTAAGTACTGCTGCAATTAATGATGTTTTCCAATAGCTAATCACACACTTTTCTCTTCTCTGCAAATGAGGTAGTGACAGCATCCCAACAAAGAGGGGTCTTTGAAAGGGCTAGACCATAGGATTTCTGCCTGCTTACCATTCCTTTCCATGAGTTTTATATGTATCAATACAGCATCTCTTCTCCTCTCCTTACTCAGGTGGGGCCCTCCGGCTCTGGGAAAAGTACCATTCTTCGCCTGCTGTTCCGCTTCTATGATGTGTGGGGAGGCTGCATCCGAATTGATGGACAAGATATCTCGAAGGTAATAAGGCTGTTCCAGACGTGACATGGAAGACCTCGTGACAGCTCAGTGGGACACAGAGGGCCATCCATCTTAGAGCAAGGCGTGGTGATCAGGTTTATGATGTCACAAGTCAAGGAAAGTGGCTGCACCCAAATGAGTCGGGGCATGTGTGAGGGTGGAGAATGGTGTTGTGAGAGTTATGGTTCTCAGTGAAAAACCGCACAAAGGTTTAAAACAGTCTGTGAACATTATCTGCAGTTTCAATTGCTTCCCCTTCCCTTCCAAAAGAAATGATAGAACTACGGTAGTTGAAGAATAGAAAAAGGCTGCAGGTATACAGAATCGGTAAGAGTGATGCTATTTCTCAATTGTCAGAGGGCTGGCTGGCTTAGTCTGTTGTAACAAAAGCAACAAAGCATCTTAAGGTCCCTTAAACACTAGCAAGTGCTTATTATAGTGTAAATGTTTGTGAATACTGTCCATGTATGACGTTCATGAAACATTACCTTAGTTGGTATGCATGCACATGCACTTAAATGAGAGGGCAGGGTAGTAAACAGTGAATTCGGAGGGAATCAAGATAAGGACTAAACCACCAGGCAGTAATAATTATTGCAGCAACGGCTGTTCAGAAAACAGTAGCTAAGTGATACTGTAGACATCCTTGCAGAGATGAGCTGATTTGCCCTCAGATCTACCTTTGAAGTTCCATTATCCAAGAATGGCCACCTTAGGTGTATTGATACAGTATCCTGGAAGGTTGAAGCCCCGCCCCTGCACCGCCCCCCCCACATACATTTCTGATGTCAGATTTGTCAGAGACTGGTTATCCTGTATAGAATGCAGTTACTAGCAAATGTTGGCAACATTCAAAATGAGATTTTTGCAGCACAATCTTGTATGTATTTATTCAGATATAATTCCCAATGTGTTCAGTGAGGATTAATCCCTTGTCTATGTGTGTTAGGATTGTAGTCACATATTCACAGCCAGATGTTGACATACATGCCATGAGTCAAGTGAATCACATGTGATTGTGCCCTGTACACACATGCCACAGTCCATGGCTTAGCCATGGATCAGACTTTTACTAGGCAATTACCTGTTTTTCTTCTGAGTTTTTACACAGGGTCCCAATGAAAACATGGGTCAGTTTGTAAATCTCCTGTGTCTTCCTGGCATTTCTTCCATCATTCCTTCCTTCCAGGAAGAGAACACTGTTAAGGAAAAAAGATACGGAATTGCTCTTCATTTTCTTCTGATTGAGATTGCTGAGAGTCACTTGTCTGGAAATACAGAAAGAGACAGAGTGATTCTCTAACATGGGCTGCATAGCGCAAAGATTGTTTGGCTGTCCAGGATGATGTGCTACATTGTAGTCATTTTTGATAGAAATTAAGTGGGCTTAATTTGGGAGCGGGGGATAAGCTTGTACAAACACATGTCTCCTGTTATCACTCAGGGCTTTTGTTGCCACTATCCAGCTGCTTAATTCCTGCTTCATGAAAAGCAAACATGTGTGATCAATTTAGAGATGGATGAAGGGTGTGCTCTGGGGCAGGTGTTAGCTCCAGCTTGCCTCCACCACTCCTCTGGCCACCCAGGTTTACTGGGAAGGGGAGTTACAGGACATCAGAGAAGAAGATTTCCAAGTGCCCCATCTGGGTGCCAGGATTTTGTGGGCCCCGGGAGGTGGAGGTTTGAAGGAGATTGAAGGGCAATATGTGGCTTTCATGTTTGTTCCAGATGTTTGCTGTCTGCTTGTTTTTTGAGAATGTGTGGTTCCCCCTGCCTGCCACTACTCTTGAAGAGGCATGATTTCTCACGGTCCAGACACAGACACACACACACACACACACACACACATTTCTTTTGTCAAGTAGTTTTCTGTATTTTTCAAATAATAAAAAATGATCTAAAAACAGTTTTCCAGATGCAACAGTAGGATGAGTGTACTCACCACAAGCAGTGAATCCCCTTTCATAATGCCTACATAGTGGGAATGATGTCACCACCATCAGCATCAACAAGAGATTGCCACTGATTAAAGGCTTCCTGGGGTGCATGCCATTTCATTTCATTGTGCTCAAGCTGTGTGTACCCTGAAACCAAAGAGGAAGTCGTTAGTTAGTGGCAATCTGTCACTGATAGTGGCATCATTCCCACTGGGTAAGCAGTGCTGTGCAACATGATTCTGGCCATCATTTTATTCAGGCCCCTTCCACATATTTAAAGCTTGGACAAATACCTTGGCAAGGCATTCTAGAGCTGGGGCTTGCAGGCTGCTGGTAGCCCATTTTTGTGGCTCCAAAACTCCCTCCTTTGAGGAAGACTATGATCCATAATCTTCTGTATTCCCCCTCCCAGAAGGGAATTGTTCCTCTAGGAGGCACAATTCTCCTCTAAAACAACCCCTTCCCCCCACCATGTTACTTTAGTGAAATAGTGTTTTTAACCTGGATGTACTTGGTTTTTCAAACTGGCCGCGGCTTTGTAGTCACTTCAGGTTTCCTTTGGAGGGGTTGGTGCATCCCCCTGCACACATCTTCTGTAGAGCAGATAAATGCTGCTGCACAACAGAAGTACTGATTCCTGCCCTCTCCAGCGTTTCAGACAGGTAGCTCTAGACCAGTGGTTCTTAACCTTTGTTACGTGGATGTTTTTGAACTGCAACTCCCAGAAACCCCAGCCAGCAAAGTTGGTGTTGAAGGCTTCTGGGAGTTGCAGTCCAAAACCCCTGAGTAACCCAAGGTTAAGAACCAGTGCTCTAGACTGCAAAGGCATCTCAAGTTCTGTCGTGGTCTTTGTGATCCCTTGCTAACCTGGCCATTTGCTCCCCGCTCCCAGATGTGAGACCCTGGCTGTCTCTACAGAAGTACTGATTCCTGCCCTCTCCAGCATTTCAGACAGGTAGCTCTAGACTGCAAAGGCATCTGAAGTTCTGTCGTGGTCTTTGTGATCCCTTGCTAACCTGGCCATTTGCTCCCCGCTCCCAGATGTGAGACCCTGGCTGTCTCTGGTGAGCACACCTTTAGAAAAGCCACGAGTTCTCCCATGAGGTTACTGTGCTGCTTGAGGGACATTACACCCCCTTTCCAAGCCATAACAGGGGTTTAGGTCCACTCTGTCATTGCTTCTGCCTCTCACCGCTTCTGTCCTCTGTCTCCCCACCAACCACAGGCAAAGCAGGCTTCCGTACGTTCACACATTGGGGTGGTGCCACAGGATACCGTGCTCTTCAATGACACCATTCGCAACAACATTCGATATGGTCGCATTGATGCTACCGATGAAGAGGTGGTGGAGGCAGCGATCACTGCTAATATCCATGAGCGTATCCTCACCTTCCCCGATGGTAAGGACTGTTTTCCATTTCTGGTTTACCTCCTGCTGCGCCATAAAGCTTTCTGTTTACCCTGGGAGCTTCTATACACCATCCTCACCTTCCCCGATGGTAAGGACTGTTTTCCATTTCTGGCTTACCTCCTGCTGCACCATAAAGCTTTCTGTTTATCCTGGGGGCTTCTATACACCTCTAGATTATTATGGTCAGGAAACTCTCCAAGGTTAAGAACCAGTGCTCTAGATTATTATGGTCAGGAAACTCCTTTTCCTGTTGTAACCCAGTGGAAGGGCACATACTTTGTGTGCAAAATTCAGCCCTTCAAGCGATGTTGGACTGCAGTTCCAACATTCTTCACTATCAGCTTTGCTGGCTGAAGGGGGTGGGCGTGGGCAGCTGCAATCCAACAATGTCTGGAGGGCCATACCTTTATCCGGTGGGCGTGGGCAGCTGCAATCCAACAATTATCTATCCTTTGTGTAGACAGTACACAATTAGATGTCACACCAGTGCTCTGATACCACCTTCCTATGTGCCTCTCTGATCTGACCCAAATGAATCTGTCTCCCAGCCAGAAATACAGCAAGACAGTGGCCTTCTGAAAAATATGGACTGTCATAGGCTGCCACGTATGCAATGTAACCTACGCCCCCTTTTTACTGTACAATTAGCATATGCTAATTGTATGCATATTCCCGAGAGAGAAAAATAGGAATATCCTCCAAAACTAAGTAGTTGCACTGTTCCATTTTCCAATTTTTTAAAATACACTGGTCACTAGACTTTGGTATTGTTAACAGTAGCTGTGCAGATAACCAATCCCATTTGGGATTAAACCTAGAAGATATACAAAGATGCTAAAGATTTATGGTACTTCAACAAAATGGCACAAGTCAGAGAATGGCACCTATAAGCTTACCCCTGTCCAATGTGATATTTTAATGTTCTCATTATCTGCTTTTATGTGGTAGGTTATGATACACAGGTTGGTGAGCGAGGCCTGAAGCTGAGCGGTGGGGAGAAACAGCGAGTTGCCATTGCCCGCACTGTCTTGAAAAACCCCCAGATCATCTTTTTTGATGAGGTAAAAGGATATGTGTCATTATAAACCCTGTTTGAAATACCTGTTGGCATAGCTTACACCTGCAGAGAAATAATTATGTCACCAGTAAGTTGTGATTTTCAGTAAATAAACACTTCCTATTTCTGTCCCACAGCTTTTCTGACTGCTGTGTAATTCTTTTCATTCTACAGAAGCCATAGGAGCTGCAGGACAAGAGGAGGAAGTCTTAAATTACTGCAGATTGCCACTACTGGATGACATTACTGGCAAGGGAAAATTTTAAGTAATTAAAGAGCCACTCCTCTTGTTCTGGGGCTTCCACAGGCTCCATGTGCTGACAGTGAAAAACTGTGGGACACACAAGTTGGAAGTTTTTAATTACTGAAGGTTGCCTCTTGCTGGTGATATCATACCTTTCCACAGGCATAAGTTACAGAACATGATTTTAACCACTAACTAGCATCTCTGTTGTTCATATTATGTAGATAATGAGGAGTGATGCCAACATGCCTATAAGACCTTTTGGGTTTGCAGCAGTGTGTAGTGTCTTTTAGGAGAGAAAAAAAAATCCTAAGGGATCAAAACTGTCCCCCAAACAGTCCAGTAAGGGCTGATTTTTTCTTGTAGAAAAAAACCAGGAAACAAAAATTCTGGATGGGATGGAATGGCAAGTCCCTTAAGTGGAAGCACTCCACACTGCAGTGTTCTGTGACTTACCAGTTATATATTTCTTTATTTCCCATGTCTTGTGGCCAGCTGTCATATTTTGCCCCTACTTTGTATCTTCTCTCCTATAACCAACCCCAAGAGAGGTAGGAAGCAGGGTAATACTTAACTCTCCTTAACCTGCAAATCTCCCCCAGTCTCCATAATAGTGTCTGACCCAAAGGGACTTCTCCACCGTTTTTACCCTTCCCTCTGTCAGTTCTGTAACAAAGACAGTAATGCATAGAAAGTGGAGAGGAGAAGAGCCAGGCACACTGCTTTGAGTTAATTGGATCCAAGTTTGGACGTAGATGAAATAAATATTCAATTTTTTTCAAAAAAATATACTCAGAATTTTATGGTAGCACCATGGCATGGATGGCTTCTTTTTAGAGATGTGCCACCGTCATGGCATTGGCAGATGATGTCATGGTTGCCACTTATCCCACCCACTCATGATGCCACAAGTTGCAATTTGTACCTGGATCTTACAGGCAACGTCAGCATTGGACACGAAGACTGAGAGAAATATCCAGGCATCCCTGGCTAAGGTGTGCGCGAACCGGACCACCATCATTGTGGCTCACAGGTAAAGGCCATGAAAGTTTTGTATCCTGGGCTTCAGCAGAAGGACAGCTGGGGGAGTGCTGAACCCACCTTTCAGTTGGAGAGCCAAATGCTGGTTTGTCACTTGCATATAGGTCCTTGGCCCCTCTTGCTGTGCTGTAGTCACAAAAAGGTGGAAACCTGTATTATTATTGTCAGCACCTTGAGCATCTTTTTGGTGGAAAAAGAGGACACACATTTGGTGGAAAAGAATATAATTTTATAAAATCACAGGATGTAAGTTATGGTGGTGGCAGTGGTTTGCTTTGTGTTTATTCCATGTCGCAACATGAGAGCTCATCCCTGATGTTCTGTTTGGGTTGCTGAGTGGCTGGAGTATCTGGTCTCCAAGCCACTTCCAGCTACTTACTCCTTTTCCCTCCCTACTTTCTGAAACTAGGGAGAAGGGGCAGGCGTGGGCTGTACAGTTTAACCTTCACCTTCCATTTTTTCCAAGATGTTGGCCATGAGCTGAAAAAGATATACAGGTCTATTGTGGGTATAGAAGTGTCACCGTGTGTAAAGTGAAATAATATGTTTGAATGTTCAATTCACATTGCTGAATTAGCATGGGAAAACTGGCATGACTCGCTAGACAGACGTCTACAGACTTCAGCACATATTGTGATCAGTATGCAACATGGCCTGTGTTTTAAGTTGCGCCACATAATGCTGTGCCACTACTACTAAATCCACTGAAGACTACTTTGTGGCACCAGAACAAATATCTGTAGCTGCTTTCCCTGGGGATGACCTATGTCTGAGATGACAGGGCCTATCCAGGTTGCCATTCTGCACATTCTAGCCAGCTCTCCTGTGCAGTTTGTGTACTTGGAGCTCAGTGGGTGGCGGAAAGATCACAGTTGTATTCTCGATTCTTAATAAAATCTTTAGTGATGGCACTTTCTTTGCAGACTATCCACAGTAGTGAACGCTGACCACATCTTAGTCCTCCGGGAGGGCCGAATAGTAGAGCGAGGAAGGTAATGCCTGTTGCTCTTGCCTGTGTCCCAGGGCTATTTATACCACTCTGCATGCCAAAAACTGTATTCTGTGGGTTATAGAAATTATGCAACTGCGAGATAATTTTCACTATCTTTTGTTTTGTGTGATTTATTCCAATTTTGCTAGCTCCAGAAAATAAAACTATTCTAAACTCTAAAGTCCTGCAACCAGGGGACTAGAAAGCTTCTCCAACTATGTCTCTGGCATCTGAGGTTGTCATCCCACAAACTTTGCAGACAGAAAGGACTAGAAACCTGCTCTTCCTTTTTGAGAAGAAACCTGAGAGTACTTTTCATTGAGATCTAGCTATACTGTCAGTTACTGGTGAATGATACAGTGGCCATAAAGAGATTACAGTCAGTGCTTTCTCTGCACACCCATGGAGTGTTACCCTACACATAGCCTTGTCTCCTTCCTAACCCAGGTTCAGCTTGAGACCCCATTTGGAGAGGAGGAGCAGATGGACTGTAGGTTCCTCTACACCAATTTGTACAAGAGCAGTAAGACAAAAGCAGACAGTGACCTCTAAATTCAGGAATTTTTTGACTTCTTCCCTTCCAAAATCTGAAGCCACCACAACACCTCACAATCCTTTCCATTCCATCCTTTTCTCCTGTGATTCCCTAGCCAGTGGTCTGGAGTGGGAAATATTAAAACTATAGTGCATATGAGGGAGCAGTTGATGATCCCATCTGTCCGATCAAGGATGACCTGTTAGCCAGAAAGCTGTCTAATAGTTGCATTGCTTCTCAGAAGTTCTCTTAAATTTCTCCTTTACCTTTTCTTACATCCCTGCCATTGGTCTTTCTCCCTGTTGACCAGGCTGGAGCTCTTCTTTTTTTGCAGCCTGGGCTTTATTGGCAGAGTGGCTGTAGGATGTAGATATGTGTTGGGAAGGATGCAGCACAGAAGTGGAAAGTTGTAGGTCTGTGGATGCTTCTTTGAGATTCACTCAGAACTTTGTGGAACCTTTGGATTGAACTGTCTTTCTGAATTTTGCAGGCATGAGGAACTATTGAAGAAGGGCGGCTTCTACACTGACATGTGGATGCAGCAAGGAAGTGAGGTGCCAGATGTCCTGGAGGTGCAAAGCAAGACTGGCCCTGTGCTGAAGTCTGAGAGTGAGGGTAGTATTGTTTCCAAAACATCCACCAGGAAGAGCAGTGACATATATGGGACAGCAGGAGGCAGTGAAAAGAGTGCTGCAACTGAGTCTGAGACCGAAGCTGAGCCTGAAACTAAGCCTGAGCCTAAGCCTAAACCTGAGGTTAAGCCTGAGGTTAAGCCTGAGGTTAAGCCTCAGCCTAAACGTAAGGACGAGGAGGAGGAGGAGGAGGAGGAAACTGAGACTGAAACAGAAGGCGAGTCAACCACCAGGAGGAGGAGGAGGAGGAGGAGGAAACCGAGACTGAAACAGAAGGCGAGTCAACCACTGCAACATCAAATCTAAGCACTGAAAGGACCTCTGAGTCCAATGCGTCATCATAGTCATGAAACAGAAAGAACTACTCAGTGGACCCACAGAAACAGGAATCGCTTTTGCAGGAGAATCTGGCCTTGAAGGCAAAGAGGGAGCAGCAACCATCTCTGCCGTCAGTGACTGCTGACAATAATGGAGAAGATGCTTACCAGAGTACACACCACGTCGTGGAGGCCAAACCTGAGAAAGGCTAGATAGCAAACGTTCTTCTGAGTTGCTCATGAATCTGATGTATTATCAGTGATTAATGACGGGGAGGCTGGGACCATGAATAAATGCTTTTCCTTGCAAACATGAGTGTGGGAAGATGGGGAGGAGATATGGGGGTATTACCAGCACTTTGTATGCAACTGCAAGGAGATTTTAGAGAATGGCTGACTGTGTTCATCAGTTGATTTTTAAATGTGTTTTGATTTTCATAAACCCTTGAGTGTTTTGAGAGCCATCTGTGGATCCAGTGTTTTCAATCTGAAGAATGTGAGACTGGGAAGAAATGGTGGTTGGTTGGCTGCCATCCTGCCAGCATGACCATACAATTATTGTCATACCACACCAGCGAATCGGCACAATACAAGCTGTGACACGGCAAGGTTAAGTAGCAACAGATTATCAGCTTTGTGGCCGTATAGAAGCTGCCCAACCCCATAGTCATGATGCAGGAAAGGAGCTGTTGATTCTCCAGCCTCCTGTATCTCTCCCCCAGCCTCTGATAGACTGCACATACTTCCAGTGACCATGTTGAGATCAAATGCTACTCCCCCTTGGTCATCCTGCCATCTTGGTTAGGAGACAAGGCCTGGAAGGGAACCCACTTTGAGCATCGCAACATGTATGAGGCTTCCATCAGGCCACCAATAGATTGTACTGCTTTTATTTGTCCATGCCAGAATTTTTACCTGAAAAAACATCTAAAGATATCAGCGGTCCTTTTAATGCCCGGTATTTTCTTTGGGGATGGGTGGCGCTGTGGGTTAAACCGCAGAAGCGTCTATGCTGCAAGGTCAGAAGACTAGCAGTCGTAAGATAGAATCCACGCGACAAAGTGAGTTCCCGTTGCTCGTCCCAGCTCATACCCACCTAGCAGTTCGAAAGCATGTAAAAATGCGAGTAGATAAATAGGTACCACCTCAGTGGGAAGGTAATGGTGTTCCATGTCTAGTTGCATTGGCCATGTGACCACGGAAACTGCCTTTGGACAAACGCTGGCTCTATGGCTTGGAAATGAGGATGAGCACGACTGGACTAAATGTCAAGGATCTTTACCTTTACCTATTCTCTTAGGAGCAGAGTTTCTATCAGTCTGAGTTATACCTGGTGCAGAGGGCATCTTGGTCTTCTATCTATAGGTCCTTTACTTTTCAGGAAGGTAAACAAATCCATGAGATAAATGGGAAGTGAAGCTTAGGAAACTACTGCCCTTAGGATTGAGCAATCCATGTGACTTCTCAGATTCACCAATTAAGAACCTTGCTGCTTTTCTGTGCTTCAGTCCTTGAATCCACTCATCTCCCAGTGAACCAAGGAGAACAGGGTCCCAATATCTCTTTTTAGGAAAAGTGAGTGACACACAGACAAAATGGTTGTAACGAAGTGAAAACTACCATGAATTAGCTGTGTGGACTTAAGATGATGTCCCTCAAGGCCTTGGCCTCTCCATGGAATGGAGAAAGCTGAATGGCATGTAAGTATGGGCATGGCTCAAGGCCATGGTGGGTCCATGATTATCCAAGGGTCACCTCCTGGAAAAATGAGAAAAGCCATGGCTTGGGAGTCTGCACTTTGTACTAGAAGACTGGAATGGAGGATTTGCTGAATTTTATACCAGTAAGGAGCAGTATGTACCCTCGTGAGATTGTACCAGTTTGTTCCCCCACGAGCTCCTGGTTTCTCCTGTCAAGGACACACACCCTAATTAAGTGCTTGCAGTAGCAGAAGTCACCCTTTGTAAAGCAGCCCCAGGTGTAGTGGTTTTACTGCAGTAAAAATGCTGGTCATGACTTGAGTTTGAGGCTAGCAGCCCCAGGTAGCCGGCTCAAGGTTGACTCAGCGTTCCATCCTCCTGAGGTCAGTAAATTGAGTACCGTACCCAGCTCACAGGTGTGTGTGTAACCTGCATAATTAAATGGTTAAACTGTCCAGAGAGTGCTTTAAGCACTAGGAGGAGGTATATAAGTGGCACACTTTGCTTTTTGCTTTCAATTCTTACAAGGAGCTAGAAGGGACCGTGACACTGGCCATAGCATGAAGCCAAATGATTCCGCTGCCTCAAGTGGCAATTTTTAGGAGAGGGCAGGGGGCAGTAAGGTGGTGAGGGGCAACAGCTGTGCTACTCCTAACCTAGGTTCTTTTTCAGTACAATGGAAGACAGTTTTGAAGGAAGACTAAACTTCTTCTCTAGTCTTCTGTGCATGAAACAGTGTGCGTGTCCATGTACAGTTGTACAGTAGTATGATTTGTCTCAGACAGTAAAATGTCTTGGAATAACCCAGCTTTTTAACATAACATAGTGCCATAACAAGTAAATAGAAACAGGAGGAGGAACCCAAAAGCAATGGCCTTTATTCATTTTCTCTCTCAACAAAGGGCAACTTTGGAATTTTGTTAGCCACTGACCGGGGCGGTGGGGGGAGTGAGTGATACCCAGCTCTGCCTTTCTAGGGGCACACATTGCTGAGTATCTACCAGCAGTATAGTCCAGCCATGAGGGCGGGTGCAGGGCCAATTTACACAGTCCATACTACCTTAGCAACACCTTGCACCTTAGCCTTGATTGCCACCCTGTTATTCTGCACACAGCCAAATTCTAGCTGGTGATGGGTGCTGGATTCACCCAGTGTGTGACTCAAGCATTTTTCTCTATAGCCATATATATATATGGGTGGCAGCATGTAAAATCAAACTTCACCACACTTGGCTTCCCCTGGCTCTGGCCAGCTTTGACAGGCCTGCTTACCAGTTCATTAAGAATGCTTCAGCCTATCCCAGCCATGTCCTAAAGCAGTTCCACACCAACTCGCTGGGAAGCTGTTCCAGATCAGTTAACTCCTCCAGTGTCCCATGAAGTCAAGAACCTCCTTGGGGGGTGGGTTGGGGGAAGGTCCATGGCTTACAGTACAGTCCTGATCTTGAGGACAGGCCGTGACTTGTACTCTGCCAGGCTCAGTCGTCCTCCTGGGGCAGCTGCTGGTGCCTGCTCTGATACCATAACATGGTAGGAAGATTCTGACAGCCCTCGTAGCGACGTTGGCGCTCCGCCTCACCCAGGGGTGGCACAGAACGGCAGGGTGCTCCTGCTAAAGTGACGTTGAGAAGTTGGGCTGGGACACCAGAAGCCAAGACTGCAGACCATGGGCCCACCTGCAAGAAAGGAGAATTGGCTTTGCTTTGAGTTGCCCTCGGCGACCAGTCATCATCACAAGCATTTATGCAGCCTTCTATAATGTTTCAAGTGTAGCTGTGCTCAAATGTCCTTTCAAAGTTCTCCACTCTGTTTGGGGACAGAATAACTGTGGATACAAATCCACCAATTTTTAGGGTGCCACTGCAAGTAGCAATCACCCCCACTGTGGTGTAGCCTGGCAACCATTTTGTTTCCTCCAATAATTCCCTTTACCTAGTGTCATACTTGGACTATGTAATCTTGCTAGAGGGAACACAGACACCCTCCAGAATGGAGAAATGTTGGAAATATCATTCAAAGTGGTCTTCCATGTTCAGAGGAGTACGAAGAAGAAAAATCTCAGAACAGAAAAGGAAAGAAAAAAATTGGGCCCATCACTTTTCATTCTTTAGTGTTCATCACTGGTGTTCATTCCCCAGACCTTCCATTTAGATACATTTTGTTGATCACTTCTCAGCCTTTTGGCTAAGATCAAGTGTGTAGATACATTTTGTTGCTGTAATAAGGCACATCTCCTCTAAGCTCTGTTGCAGAGATGAGCAGTGAGTCCACCTTTGGGGAAAGGGTGAAGCTAGGGTCGTGAGGGAATTCACCATCCAATCTCCCTCCTAAGTTTTATTTCCTTATGAAAGGGATTTCTGCTTTTCTGCCTCATTTTCGAGGCTTTTAAAAATGTCTTTGGATCATATCGTAAGGTGGTTCCTCTTTTTCATTTCTGTTACACATCTCCATCCCTGGCTGGCTACAGCTCCGGGTCTGAAGAAGCCCCATTGAAGGTGTTATAAGACCTTCCCTTGGCTTTAACTAAAGTGTGGGCAACTGGAGCAGGATAAGCATAGGGAGTGATAACTGCCTCAGCTATGACTGTATAATTAAAGATAAGATGCATAGAGACAAAGCCATTTTAGCTAACTAGCACTAGGGGGAAGCACAAAAATCCTGAGCCTTTCCCATGAAAATTTTTCTGAAATTTTTGCTCCTTTAAAACTTTTTGGAGATAATTTCCTTTCCATTGAATCATACTTGCACACAGGATATTTTTTGCACAGTACTAGTCAGAGTGCTTCAGTTTTATTATCTCGATAATCTATAAAATGATCCTGGAAGGCTGGTCAAAACAGGTTAGATTACTTAAGTAGAATTACCAGCCTCCCAACTGCCCCCAAATCTCCATATCATTGCATGTGGAATTTCCTTGACTTGCTGATGCTAGCTTGGATGCTGATTATATTAGCCACACAGGCCTTATTGAAATAAACCTAAAAAGAGAATCATGACCTGAATTCTATGAATTTATTTTATTTTATTTATTTAAAAAATAAAAACATGTACCCAATCTACCATTTTACAAATCATTGTATTATATCTTCTTATCACACAAACTCTTTTCTTCACTCTGTGTTACCCTCCCCCCACTCAAGACTAGTTCCATGGTCTTAATTCCTATATTTCAAATTGCCCTGTTTCATTCCAGTAATATATTGATTCTTCTCTAGGTGTATATCTCTTCCCTTTCTGGAACACATGTACCAAAAACAAGTTCCATATTTGTTTAAAATCATTACATTTCATTATTCTGCTTCTAATCTTAGTTTCACAAGTTAATTTATTAATTTCTGTGTTCCACATTTCTCTATACCACTCCTCACTACTAATCTGATTATTATTTTTCAATTTTTTTTGCAATTATTAACCTTGCCACTGTCACTGTTAGAATAATTAATTCATTTTCTTCTCTCTTTAATTGATTGTTATCAAACAGATTCAACAATCCAATCATTGGGGACATTTGTACCTTACCTATTACTGTATTTTTTGCTCCATAAGACGCACCTCTCCATAAGATGCACCAAATTTTTAGGAGAACAGGAAAATAATAATCTGTTTTCTTCTCCTAAAAATTTGGTGATCCTTATGGAGAGGTCCATCTTATGGAACACACCCTAGGACCCTTTGGAGGCTCACCCTGCCCCCCCCCCAGGCCCAGCGGGGGCAAAATCGCCACCTTCAGGGACTCTTCTGGAGCTTCTCAAGCCTCAGAAAAGGTCCTAGAAGCTGGCAATTTCACCTCCGCTGGCCCCGGGGGATGGGTGGAGCCTCGCAAGGGTCCTGGAAGGCTCACTCAGACCCTTGCAAGGCTCCCCCCCCATGGGGCCTGCAGGGGCGAAATCGCCAGCTTCGCTCCATAAGGCGCACAGACTTCCCACACACACACACCTTTTAATGACTCTATTCATTTCGGTGGTATTTAGATGCAACAAGCTGAATCCATCTCCAACCAAAACGAATGTAAACATAAATTAAAATGGTTCTGAAAAGTGTAAGCCCTTTTTTGCTAGTAACACTGGTCTGCTTTTGTGCAGTGGAAGCAAGCTGTTGTACTCAAATTGCATTTCCTCCACACATACTCAAGGAGCAACAATGCATATATAAAAATGTTGTTCTGTGGCACATTTCCACAGACATTGTATTGGCTTTATCATGTACATTGCAGCTTCACCTGAAACAGCTGAACAGCATGTCTTTTACACTTGAAAAAAAATCACCCCAGGACTTTCAGAAAGTTCACAGCTAAGCATTTCCTGACAATATAAATACCATTACTTGCTCTGGAATAACAATAACAGAACAAGGCAACTTTTCCTGGCTCCCAAATTCAGGAAATCAACCTGAGTGTCAAAAGACAACCTGATTTCATGAGGGTAGGTAGATATATATTATGGTAATGTACTTGCTGCATTCTGATAATCTCCTAAGTGTTTCTGCTCCTGGAGAAACAACATGCTGGTGCTCCCTTCCCTAAGATTCCCGACCCCATTTCCCCACCCCCCAATATTAGGAACAGAACGTCCAGAGTCCTGCTACCCAGTTAATGATGCTGCCTGGCCGCAAAGAGTTATGCCTTTGAACTGGACAGACACCTGTTGGCCTTGCCACCTGCCAGAAGGCAATGTTAAGACAGGGACTTCCTGCTCCCTGTTTGGGACAATGCTGGTATTTTGTTTGGAACGAACAAGCAGCATTGGGATCAACTGGCGGGCTAATAACTCACTGGCAGACTGCATGCTTTGCATACTCCTGGGCTCAATCCCTGGAATCTCCAGTTCACAGGAGCAGGTAGCAAGAGACTGTGAGAGCTCTTTGCTGGAGACCTGCCACCATTCAGGACAGACAGCATGGAATGGGCCAATGGTCTGGTGTGCGGTGTCAGGCAGCCTCTTCTGTCTTTGTGTCCACTCCATTCCCCTTTGAAGTCTTGGTACCTGCACAACTGTGGCCTCTTTACCCCATGGCTTGGCCCTGCGCGGCACTTACCGGCGAGATATACTGGAGCAGACATTGGTCAGGCTGCAGCCCTGCCCAGAACTCAGCAAAAGCTGACCCACCAGTGGTGGTACTGGTGGTGCTATGGACCAGCACCACGTTGGGATGGTGGCGTGAGGCCCGCAGCTTCTTTGCCAATGGCCCTGGATAGCTCTGGTCCAGGAAGAGGAGGACTCGGCGGGCATTGCAGTTTTCCAGGTCAGCTAAGAGCTCTGAGATGGGGTAACGCTCCTTTGGATCAGCCTGTTACAGAGGAGGAAGCAGCTCGTCAGCACCTGCCCCTTTGTCACAGCCCTCTCGCCCCCCCGGCCCCCCACCCCCAACTCTGTACAGTTCAGTGATCAAGGGAATTCCGCCGCCTGGGAGTTAAAAGGAGCAGATTAAGTAGGAAAGAGCAAGCTGAGGCCAGCGCCCGCTACAAAAGCTGGTGTGGCTTTCTCTCTCCCCCCCCACCCCCCCGCCCCAGGGCGCACATGAAAGAGCTGGACAGTCCTTTGAAGGGAGCAGAGGAGAGGAGAGGGCTGAAGCCACCACAGCAATTTCTGTCAGTGTTTCTCCTTTCTTCCAGTCAGGCTGCCCAGGACATGTCCAGACAGGTGGGATGACGCACCGTCCACCGTGCTGCTCTGCCTCTCTGCCCTAGCGAGCGAGGCTCCCTTCGCTTTCCACTTCCAGCCAGTGAAAGCACACTCACTTGCAGATGGCCAAAGGCAGGTCTAGAAGAGGCACAGAGGGGCCGAGCAGAAGGGCCTTCTAGAAAGGTTGCCCGTCGTCAACTCCTGCTGGAGTTCTCTGCTCAAGCACCTTCTTAGTCCTCTTCCAAATTTTCCTGCCCTCTGTTGCAGTGTGGAGCTCAAGCAGGGACTGCCAAATATACTAAACTCCCTGGATTTTCCTCTGTGTGATTTTATTGACTGTACACCCTCATGAGATCTGTCGGTGCATCACAGGTTAGAAAATGTTTCAATCAATCAGTCATTCTATCAGCACTGAAAATAATCCTGGATCCATTTTAAATACCCAGATGGTACATGTTGTGATATATATACTGTATATATTTTCTTATGGTATCTGGGACTGCTGGCAGGCTACAATATGCTGGCAGAGTTATTTCTTCATAAGTATCCCACGACAATCCCATGACAGCCCCAGCCTCCAAAAGATGCCCTCCTCTCTCTTTTTTTTTCCTGTCCCTCCCTGCCCTGCTCCCCACTCACAATGCCATTATGGTTAGCATCCCACAGCAGCATGGTGCCATCACTGGCCGCCGGACTATTGAGGTAGAGCACCAATGAATCGGCACAATGCAGGCTCCGGCACAGCAAGGCTAGGTGGGAGCGGATTGCCAGCTTCTCCGTGGCTGGATGCACATCACCCATCTCCACAGCCACTGCCAAAGAAAGAAGGAAGAGCTGTTGATTCCTGTGTGCCCTTCTCAATCGGTCTCTCCCCTTCCAGCTTCTGATAGAATCTACTCAGAACAGACCCTGCTCCGGGTCTGCCCTCCTACCCTTTTGGATAGGAGAACAGGCTGGAAAGGGAACCCACTTTGACCATCCTGGGCTGATTGCCTGTGCTTTCACAGCCACTACTCTCCAGGAAGTCACGTAGCTGCTACCGGACATCACTCTGAAATGCTAGACCCTATCTGGAAAGTTGATGGTGAGCAATAGGTAAGAGGAACCCACTGGATAGAACCAACACACATTGAGAATCAAGAGCTCCCAGTCTCTGCAAATGGTAGTTGCGGCTTCGAAAAGTTACTTTTTCAGACTACAATTCTAAATCCTGCAGTCAGCAGGGCCAATGACCATGCTGACTAGAGATTCTGAATTGTTATAGTATAGAAAAGTAATATTTTTGAGAGCTGAGCTATTGACATTCAAAGATACGGAAAAGTCGATCTCCCAGGAAATCAAGGGGCATTGTCAACTCTGTAGGGATCTCAGAGTCTTCCTCCCCCTGTACCTGAGCCTTGCCCTTCATTTGCAAAGAAGGCCTTGATATGATCCTGGTGGAAGCCATTTTGTCGAAGCATCTGGTAGAAGAGCAGCAGGTTCTGAGCATGGTGGGGGTAAGTGACCTGCTCCTGCCAGCCACCTAGGGAAAAAACACTGTCAGCAACACGGTGAACTGGAGGGACTGACTCTGGCTGCAAAAGGTCAAGGAAGAAGAGGCAATCGTGTAGTACGAACCCTGCCATGCAAGACAGGGACCCTACAGATCAGCCAGTGATTTGATTCACACTTCCCCAAGACACTGCTTGCCCTGGAGCCACAGGCTGAAATCTCCATCTCCTTCTTGTTCCAGTTGTGCATCCACACAACCTAATAGCTCCTCCACCCTACCCTCCATTCCAAAGGCCACACCTGCAATCAGCACAGCGTGATCACATGTCTGATACAGGCGGCATGACTTGTACATCGGAAGCTGCTGGCGATGGCACCGGCGGGTATTCTTGTTGAGCTCACAATAAGCTGCTGTGGAACCAGAGCCAACAAGGGGCAGAGGCTGTGGGCACGGACTGTATCCACGGAGATCTGTGAAAGGAAGGAAGTGCGGCAGGAGAGGAGTACTCAAGAGTTTGGCATGGGTGTATGAAACAAGCAAAGGTTACCTGGAATGAGGTAGGGTCAAGGGCAACTCAGGGCAGTGAGAGAATGGCCATATTCTCAGTGCCTGCAGTCAATCCCGTGAGCCTCTCTCTTTGCACTTACTTACCACTGTGTCCCATCCTGCACCTTTACTCACTTACTGTCTTTTGACACCCCAGACCCCCAAAGCGGAAGCTAACCCTAGATGACAATTACGGTTAAGTCAGATCTCAAACCTCACTGAATGCTTAGGATGGGGAAGATCCCTGTGTAGCTTTTACTTTCTTCTTTCCTTCCTGCAATGACCATTCCCCCCCCCCAAAAAAAAGGAAAATCACTGTGGGATCCAGCAACTGGAAGAACTTACTATCAGAAATGGGAGAACTTACTATCTTGACTACAACTCTTTGAATTGCCAATTACCCCACTGCCATAAAAAAAGGAAATTTCCAAGCTTTGAAGATTTTAGCAGAAACAGTGGAGTGACCCCCCCCCAAAAAAAGACTGGGAGCTGGATGAACCTCCCACAAAGCAGGGACTCTCTGGTTAATTCCAACTCCCCAGCCCAGGCACCCACCCACACAGTGCAATTTTTGCAGATGTTTTGGGTCCTGCACTGTGACTGCCATGGGCAGAAAGTGGATTTCACAAAGTCCAACTGGGGGCTCCTCTCGGCGAACACGGCCTGTTGGCCACTGGCTCCGTCCTTTGCCACGCCCTGGCCTTCGCTTCAGTTGGTTCTCGCAGTGGCTCCTCTGGGCAAGAGTCAAACACTCGTAACTGCCTGGAAAGGAGAGGAGACGCAGGTTCAGAGTAAGCCTGTCCACAGGCTTTACTTTTCGGGGCGGGGGGGAAGGCACATGTTGGTTACTTTGGCACAGGATCTGTGCAGGCAAATGGTGCCATTCTCCCTAAAAGAAAAAAAGAAAAAAAATAAATAACTCAAGATCTGAGGCCTGTTCCTCCAAAGCTATCCCTTCTCCCTCTGCTCCAAAGCGTGATGGGATCAAAGGAAAGAACACCATTCATTCTCTCCTGTTGTTCTTCGGATGTTCTTGATCAAAAACAGAAGCCAATTAAGCAGCGCACAGTAATAGGCCAGCAACATAAATACAGAAATCAAAGCCAGATCAGGCACAGGCAGGAATGCAGAGCTGTCCCCATAGCACTCCAACCCTTTACTGTAAACCTGGGATGGGCATCCAGGTGTTGTTGCACGGCAGGTCCCAAGAGGCTGGGCCAGCACAGCCACTGGCGAGGCATCATGGGGATGGAGGCAGCCCAGCAATATATGGAGGACCACAAGTTGATCGTCCACCTTGTAAATCATGAGAAACTATCAGACTTTCATCCTCCCAAGAAAAATAAACAACAAGCATCCCCCAGCAGCTGAAGCAACACAGCACAAAGCTCCCTTCCAAACCAGAAGAGCAAGAGGGCAGTGAGACAAAGGTATGACAAAAAAACACAAACAAAACAAAGCAAAACAAAACAAAATAAAAATTGTAGGAGTAGGGGGGTGCCTGCCCATTTGACTGCAGAGCTTGGTTGATTAATCTATAAGAGTAATTAACTAATTTAGGATGTAACTACACTGAAGCATTTCTCAGTGATCACATGACATCGCTGTGAATCAGCCTGTTTTTTTTTTTTTTTTTTTGCTTCCAATTTCAAGAGTTTTTCCCTCTGCCACTAGAGGCTTTTACTTTTTTAAAAGCTGAAACAATTCAAACAGTGTTTTCCCTGTGTGAGTGTTTGTTGTATTCTACAAAAGAATAGGTGGCATTATGGTGATGTACAGTATTGAGTGCTGACGTGATGTTTTGGGACAGCAAGAACACCCACCTGCACCATCTGTCCTCCTAGGCATCCTAATACTCTGTGTGTGTGTGTGTGTGTGTGTGTGTATATATAATCTCTGCACTGACCAAAAGAGAGAGGTGGGGGGAGAGAGAGGGAGGAGCAGGGATGGACAGGTGGGCAGTCTGTGAGGGTATATCCAATTGTACTAGACTGAGGGTCAGTGTGGACACTGGCACCAAAACAATCAGGGGGGCTTTATGTCATCACATAAACCAAATGCAGCCATAAGAAAGCCTGGCCTGCAAACCAAGCTACAGTGAGTGTAGTCGCCCCCTTTGAATGGTGCCCCTTAGAATGATGCCATAAGAGATGTCAATTATTTTTAACAATATTTTAATGAACTCTGTGTATGGCAAAGGCTTTCCTTTGACCAAGTAACATGAGAGCATGCACCTTCTGAGAAGGTACCTGCAATCCCTGGTCCACAAATGCAAAAATGTCACTGTCATCAGCATGAGCCTTCCATTCAAAAGCACGGCTAACAAACTAATGAATCAATTCACTGATGTGTGTAATCTATTCACTACACTTTCTTTTTTCAGAGGGCAGGGAGAGCCATCAGTGGCTAACTCCCACACAGGGAGGCAACAGAGTCTAAGCTTCTCTAAACTAAAAGGAAATGATCACTTACCTTCTAGGGTTTTGGGCTGGGTGAGTGGGCAGCAGAGGTAGTGGAACATGACACAAGTGACAGGTCTTTTATCTTTTCAGCAACTACAGTGGCACTTACGTTAACTTAGAGTGTGGCTAGATGGCCAAATTGGACAGGGCAGTCTTGGGCCAGCTAATATTGCTCAAGGTCAGACAGAGGTGTGTGGTGCAATTCACTAGCAAGCACAGTGTGGTTCAAATCAGGAAACCGGAGCGCACCTCAACTGACCCTGCTGGACAAGATCAAGATTTTTCACTTTAAAAGGAAAAAGGGAAAGGGAAAGATTTCTTAGGATTAAGATCAAGATTTTTCACTTTAAAAGGAAATATTACTGTCTCATTTGAAAGGGAAAGATTTCTTAGGATCTTTAAGGCTGTCCCTTTGGAGAGGTCACTTAAACATAACACTTCCTCTGAGCTCTCCTTTGGAAGGCAGGGCATTTCTTTTTAATTGTTGCTAATTTTATCAGCCATGCTTTGAAATGTTTTTTTTAACTGTTGTCAAAGCATTGCTGATTCACTGTGTCCCTTAGCAAACATTAAAAAGCAATAGGATGCTTCTGTCGCTTTTCCCTTCCAAAGGCTAGGAAGATTTAAAGGGAAGTTTCCTATAAAGCTGATAACGATTTTGAGAAATAGGAAGCTTCCTAGCTTTTGGAAAGGAATCAAGACAAAGGCATCCCATTGCTCTTGATGTTTGCTGATAGGCAGAGTAAATCACTGATGCTTTGACAGCAGTTAAGAAAAACCTTAAAGTTAGATGCAATTTAAAAGAAATGCCCTGCCCTCCAAAGGAGAACTCAGAGCAAGTGTTCAATTAAGTAACTTCTCCCAAGGACCAACCAGCTAGACACTTCCAACATACACAGCAATCCCAGCATACACACATTCTGAAATCAAACCAAAAGAAATTGTGTGGCTCTAACAGCTGTGAGATGTAACAGAAGAAGATAGGAGTACCTGTATAATGAAAAATCTGACTAAATAAAACCAACCAAACGCAACTTTTAGAGAAAACATGAATCAATCAATCATAGTGCCAAAATAAAATGTAATTAACCTTCCTGAAGAATTAGCATTATTAATCTCAGTGGACAATGAACCAGAATACCTGTGGCTGAAGTCAGAGATATTATTCAAAATATTGTAAAAATAGTATTTTTAAAAAAGCAAAACTTGGATGATGATGAAACTCTTAAAACTATTAATGACAGACAAGAACCAAAGGTAAAAAGTGACAGAATTCTAAATGCAACTATTATGTGACTAGCACGTAGCGACAATTATAACAATAATCATAAATAGAAAAAAGGTTTTTAAAAATCATTTTTTTCTAAAGGAAGGAGATGCCAGAAATTGCAGTAACCATTTCATTAATAGTTCCATGCAATGAAAAATGATGCTAAAATTTTACAACAAAACCCTTCCCCATGTATGAAGCAAGAAATGGCAGAAGCTGGATTCAGAAAAGGAAGAGGCATTGGTGACAATATTGGAAATATACATTTGTTTCTGGAGCATACAGAAGAATTTCAGAACAAAATCAATTTATACTTCATAAATTATGGTAAAGCTTTTGACTGAATGATACCTGAAAAGCTACAAAATGTTCTTTAAAAGGGGGTCTATCAGAACACTTTATTGTCTCAATGCATAATCTGTACTGTGCACAAAAAGTTACTGTTGGGATAGAATATGAAGAAACAAAGTAAACAAAAGTATCAGACAAGGATGGGGTTTATTTTGCTGTCTGTACAATCTATAAGCAGACCATATCATTTGAAAACCTGGATCAGAGTCAGAAGGAAGAATGAAAATTGCTGAGAGAAACATGAACAGTTTAAGATATGCAGATTAGACCACATTACTGGCAGAAAATGGCAGAAACAACTACTGATGAAAGTGAAAGAAGGAAATGCATAAACAGGATTACAGGTGAACATAGAGAAGACAAAAATCATGACTGCAGAAGGTTTATAAAACTTTAATGCTAACAATGAAGAAAGTAAAATTGTTAAAGATTTGTTATACCTTGGAACAACTGTCAATCAAATGCAGGGTACAACATTTTGAACTCCAAAGAACACTCAAGCATAGAAGGTTAGTTGTAAAGAAACTGGAAAAGGTCTTTGAGTGTGAAGACGCATCACTGGAAATCAAGGGGACGATCATGATACTACTGTATTCTTAATTTGCGTACGGATATAAAAGCTGAAGAATAAAGAAAGTTGATCATTCAAATGTGTTGGAGGAGAGCTTTACAGATACGAACTTCCAGAACGAGAATCCCGAGTGCTCGACTAAAAGCTAAAATGACTAAGCTGAAGCTGTGCTGTTTTGGAGATACCACGAGAAGACAAGACTGGGGCTGGCGGGGGGGGGGCAGGGGGGACAATGCTAGGAAAAAGGTGAAGGCAGTAAGTAGGAGAACAGGAAGATCTAACATAAGAGGGATTGATTCAGTAAAGGAAACCCTAGACTTTGATTGCAAGACCTGAGCAGGGCCGTTAATGATTAAGCTTTCTGAAGCTTATTAATTCATAGGGTTGGTGTAAATTGGAAGTAGCTGGCACATATACACGCAAAGGAACAAAATTTAAGAGGGAAGGGGAGTTATTTATATTATTGATAATTTATTACTTCCAAGTTTTGAGTCATGGACACCTTTCGCATTTCAGTGAGCAAATTGTGCAGGTGAGTAAATACATCCTCAAGAAGCCCCAACCAGGGACAACTCTCAATCTCTCTCCCCCCCCCTTTCTCGGGCAATCTCAGCTGTGCGTCTGTCATCAGCGGGGGGACGTCGGGATGAAGTGGGCGATCAGGGGGCCCAAGAGAAAAGGGCACCCGTTCTTCGCGGGGCGGGCCCGCCGCCCACTTACTTACCCAGGTAGAGGCGGTCCCGGCTCCGGCAGCGGCGCGGGCTGATGTTGAAGTCGACGTAGAAGAGGAGGAGGGGGTGGCCGAAGCGGGCGCCGGGGCGGGGGTCGAGCACGAGGAGGGCGTCCTGCCCGCCGCTCTGGTTGCGGCTCGGGCCCCCGGGCGCG